TAATTATACAAGTGTTGCTAGTTTTAAAAGCAGTATAATTGTGTTTGGTAAATTATGAGGTTTAATTGTTGTGGGTAATTAAGATGAACGTAATTAATAATCTTAAATTAATATATAAAGTAATTGATAATTGATAATTATTTAAAAAAGGTAATATATTAATAATATAATAATAATGGATAAATAATTAATGAGTAAATTAGTAATTAAACTATATATAATAAATTAATATGTTAAATAATTAAAAATAGTAATTAGTAATTAATTATAAGTAATTATTATGTTAGTAATGTACTCATATTTATTAGATTATAAGTAATTAATTAGTGTACTAAGAAAAATAATTACAATATACATAATTTATTAATATTAATTTTACTACCTAAATTATTAACTTTTATTTACATTATTAAATAATTAGTTAATGAATTACTAATATTTATTTAATAATCTATTATTTGATATATCACATGATCAATTTTTGATAATTATTCTTTTTATAATGATTAATTACTAATTATCAATTATTAATTATTACATATTGATCATTATAATTTAATAATAATTATTAATTGAGTAAGTACTATTTATTTTTTCTTTAATAACTATTTATTAATTAATAGATTATAATGTATTAATTATTTATTATTTATTTAATAACCTATTATTACTTATTTTATTGTTAATATGTTATATAATAAATTTATGTCAATTAATCTTTAACTAAATAAATAATTACGATATTATTTATTATTTTATTAACAAAATTAAAAACTTAATAGTAATAAATTAGTATTTAATTAATAATTAAGTAATTACTATGTATTTATTATTTATTAAGTATATATATTTATTGATTATTAATTAATATATAATATAATTAGTAATTAAGAATTAATTATTTAATATAACTTTGTTAAGAATCATTGATTGTATTATGTTGATTCTCACACATTCTAAAAACTAAAGTTGTTTTTGGACTGCTTCTGATTTTGACTGTAGATTCTTTAAAATCATTTTTTATAGTTTTTACCAAACACCATTATCAGTTTCTGATGGCTAGAGAAATGATTTTAAGCTTCAGAAATCACTACCAACGCACCCATAATATTGTAGACCAAGATACATCGAGGAGACTACTTCCTTATTCTTTTTTTTTGACACCGACTATTTTCTTATTCATTTCTTTACAAACAAATGTAAAATTACAACTCAAGCAAAAAAGAAGTAAAACTACGGCCTCGTTCAGTCGTCGATTCGAGCTGATATGTGATTTTATGTAAGAGCTTTTAACTGTAATAAAAAAGTTAAATGTGACTGTTTTTTAAAACTTTTAACTGTAGTAAAATTTAAATTGAAAACTCAAGGGATGTTTGTTTCCTGTATTCGTCTCTGATTTTGAACTATGATTCATAGTTCTCTACAGTATTTTTCTCTCATAAAAAATACATGTAAAACAATAATAATCTTAAATCATAATTTTAAATTTATGAACTAAACGTCTACTCAAATTGATAAAATAAATAAGGTATGCAAGTTATTTTTTTTTTCCTTTCATTTTTTCTTAGCCTAAATGAAATATTGTGTGACAAGTCAATGTGAAAATTGGCTTATCCTATGCCGTTGATCCGTTTGGTTCCATGGATCTAACGGATGAAAAAGACACTTTGGAGTTAATCCATTGTATAATTATTTTTTAGTCAAATATTTTCAGCTTCCGACACAAGAAATGAAACCATGAAAAGAAGAGACCATTAGTAAGGAATCCAATGCCTTTTTCATAATTGCAACACCCTGGCATTACCCAAGCTTGGACCCAGACCCCACACTCCCCCGTGGAGTGCATTTAACGGTCACTTATTCTCACGTGGCAATATCATCACCGTTGATTAAGAAAAAATGGACCCACATATCAACTTGGTGAGGTGGAGCAGCATCAGAATCTTTCATCTTAGCGGGGTGCTGATTCGACACGTTAAAGCTCCAGATGCTGGAAGGAAAACTATAAAAAAAAAAAAGAAAAAGGTGTTTCGTGGGACCCGTTATTTCCCGAAGGCCCAAAGGCTCATTTCTTTTTTGACTTTTCACCGTATGAACAAAATAAATAAGGCCGTACTCTTCACCATCATCTCCTGGGGATTCACGAACCGGAACAGTCTCTCATGATGCCATGTACTCTCATCGACATGAATTTTTTTTCGTTTAATTGGTTAATTTAAATTTTAAATTTAAATTTAAATGTGGTTTTATGTGAAAATTTTTTTCTCTAATAAAAATTTTTTAAAATTTTTTATTATAATAAAATTTAAAATTTAAATTTAAATTGGTAAAATAAATGAGGTCTAAATTTAGTTGGCACTAGGCGCTATTCCTCGATTAAGTTTTTTTATTTCAATTTTTGTTTTCATATTAATTTAAGGTCGGTTTAGTTCTCTGATTTGAGTTTTTAATTCGAGTTAAGATGTGACTTTATGTGAAAATTTTTTACTATAGTAAAAAAGTTAAATGTTACTATTTCTGAGAGCTTTTACTGTAATAAAACTCAAATTTTAAACTTGAATCGGTAAAATAAACGAGACACTTAATTTTTTTACTGTAGTAATTGGGGTTTCGTAAAATAATTATTCATGAACAACGAGCAATTAGATTTCCAAGTAATTGTTATGATACTTCCTGAAATACGATTCTAGGAGTTAGATTATGACAAAAATATGTTAAAATTTGATTGTATTTTTTCAAATTCTTTTATAAAGCTTAATCATTCCTCTAAAAAGAATCCCAAGCTGATATTCGAACAATTTAATAGAGCTTGTATAAAGTTTAGAGACATTTTCTAGTAGGTCAACGTGTCAGTAGGTTAAGTTTTTTAACATTTAAATTTGTATAAAATCACATAAAAATTTAAAAATACGCAGATCTAACAGTTAAAATATTTTAACCTATTAGTACTCTAATATACCAGAGAATCTTCCTAAAATTTAATACTTTTGTGGACCTTACAAGTTATGGCTGTGTTTAGAATTAGTCCCGTTGAAAAAAAAAAATGAAAACGCTTTTAAAACGGCGTTTGACGCAATAAAGACAAAAACGAAAATGAAAACGATTTTTTGGTTTAATGTAAAATGAGAGAGAAATGAAAATGGCTTTTAGTCGTTTTTCATGTTTTATTTTCGTTTTCTTCTCTCTCGAGCACAGAGAGAAAGACATTAATGAGTTTTTTTTTATATTGAAAACAATCTCTTGATAAAACTACCAAACACATTTTTAAAAATGATTTCGGTCTAAGATTAAAAATATTTATTTTTATTTTCATATAAAAAATAAAATTATTTTGAAACGAGTTCGAAATGCGCCTTATATTTATCTTTAATACAGTATTTAGGGTACCGAACTACCAAAAAAAAAAAGTATTTAGGGTACCCAAGTAATTATACATATAATTCTATCATAAAAATGGTATTCATACATACTAGTATAACCAGAGGGAAAAGCGGGAAAATTTGAAAACATATCTCTAATAGTCTCTCAAATTTATGTGTGATCTCAACAAAAATTCTCAAAACTCATAGGACAAGCAAGTAATCAATTGTATACTATAACGAGATGAAAAAAAAAATGATAAATTAAAACAAAAAATGATTTAGAGAGCACGGAAACAGTAAAAACTCTCGTATAAAATTCATCGGATTTGATCTCATACTTTGTAAACCGTAAAAATACGAGCATATACAACTTATCGTCATTTGAGCAATAACATGGCCGAATTGACGTATTTATACCAAGAAGAAGACAAAGAAATATTGATAATAAAATTCGAGTTCAATGAGGTTATAGTATTTTGTTAAACATAATTTCGAAAAATATGCAAAATTTTTGAAGAAATTTGTAAATATTGATAGTCAACGTATTTTTGTTTTTTTAATTAATTAACGTTTTAATATAAATTTTTTCATCACCTACTATACTTCTACATTTCATAGATTTGCATGTCATTGCTTTGAATTTGATATTGCCGAAATCATAATAAAATCTCAATCATTTAGGCATCATTTATTTTAACGATTCAAGTTTTGCTACAATAAAAAGTTCTGAAAACCACTCACATTTAACTTTTTTACTACAGTAAAAAGCTATCACATAAAGTCACATCTCAACCCGAATTAAAAATTCGAATCAGTGAACTAAATAGCCTCTCAAAATTGTGTAGGACTTTTTTTTAACAGAAGATCTCTCAACCGGCATCGATATTTTCTTAGAATTTATTTGAATTTGAAGTACAAGTATTTTCATTAATATGAACATTTTCATCTTTTAATTTATACTTTATGTCGTTTTTCATTAGCCAAGATCGTTAGGGTTAGGCATTAAAAAAAAGATTATTATCATTTATGTCTTATAAATTTTAGGTTATTTTCAGTTTACCCCTAAAATTTTAAAAATTCTCATTTTATTTTTAAATTTTGAAGTGTTCTCACTTAACCTAATTTGTTATAATTTATGTCAAAAATGAATTTTACATGACTAGAAAAAAAAAAAAAACATGCTTGCAGTAAACACATACAGTGTTTTGCTACAGTGTATGTGTTTTTTCTCAAGTCATAGCTCAAGTCATATTCTTATAGCATTTTTTTTTTACATAAATTTAAATTCAACTTTTTTATTACAATATTTTTCTCTTACATACACAACATAAAGTATGACTTGAGTTATATAAATGAATACACTAAACTTAAATTATGGCTCAAATTGTAATATGAGAAAAAAATACTGTAAAAAAATATTAAATCTAAATTTGTATGAAAAAAATTATATAAATAAAATTTGAGTTGTCACTTGAACAAGACAATGATAATTAGATTAAAATAGAACTTTTTGATAGAAAAAAAGATGAAATAATTTTTATTCTTACCCCTGCAAGTGTGTGTGTGTTGTTTTTTTTTGGATGAAATCCCTATCATGTGTTAAGTTTTGGAAATTTTTTTGTTGCAATCTCTAATAAATGACGTTTTAGTTCCCTTTATCTGAGAAAAATAAATCCTGCAAAAAAGAAAGGGAGAAAATGATTGTCCTGAATGGGCCTTGAACCTCCCTCCAAATAGTCAGCTGTTAGCCTGTCACTGCCTCCCCATATGCTCGCAAAGCTGCTGCATTGTCCTCTCTCTCCCTCTCTCCCTCCCTCCTGCCTCTCACCCGCAACCCCACCACCACCTTCACCACCACACAACACCATTTTTATGGTCTTCTGATCAAACCCACTTCTCAAGAGCAAAAAAAAATAAGGACCTTTCTTCAACCATGACTCCTTCTACCTCTCCATTCTCTCTCGTTACTGTTCTCAGCCTCATTGTCTTCCTTCTCACTCCTACTGGTAACTCAAATTACTATAACCCATTTTCCATTTTTCCATTTTCTCGTCTGGCTTCTTTCTTCTCACTCTAAAAAGACCAAAAATCTTTTGTCTTTTTCGCAGGTGTTTCAGCTGCGACATTCACATTCGTCAACAGATGCGACTACACAGTGTGGCCAGGCATTCTCGCCAACGCCGGCAGTCCTAGACTCGACAGCACGGGTTTCGAGCTCCCCAAAGACACCTCTCGCTCGTTTCTAGCTCCGACCGGCTGGTCAGGCCGGTTCTGGGCCCGAACAGGCTGCACATTCGACGAATCCGGCTCTGGGTCGTGCCTCACCGGCGACTGCGGCTCCGGCCAGATGGAATGCAACGGTGCCGGAGCCGCTCCGCCGGCGACGCTCGCCGAGTTCACCCTCGGCACCGGCGGGCAAGACTTCTATGACGTCAGCCTCGTCGACGGCTACAACTTGCCCATGTTCGTCGAAGGGAGCGGCGGCTCGGGTGTGTGCGCGTCCACGGGTTGCTCCACGGATCTTAACCGGCAGTGCCCGGCGGAGCTGAGGGTGGGGAATGGCGACGCGTGCAAGAGCGCGTGCGAGGCGTTCGGGAGCCCGGAGTACTGCTGCAGCGGCGCGTATGGCTCACCGGACACTTGCCGGCCGTCGGTTTACTCGGAGATGTTCAAGGCGGCGTGTCCCAGGTCGTATAGCTACGCGTACGACGACGCTACGAGTACGTTTACGTGTACGGGTGCTGATTATACGATCACGTTTTGTCCCTCCTCTCCAAGGTAACAATATCATCGCCGCCTTTGCTTTAGTCTTTTACAAGCCATTCTTCAAAAGTGAATAAAATCTCTCTGTTACTGTTAATGAATGTTAATGTCAAAAATATTTTTTTTCCTCCCTTTTTAGTGCTAAATCAATGGACGCGATTATAATTTATTTTAAAATAATTTTATTTTTTTTATAAATATAAAAATGAAATATTTTTAATTTTAGATATAAATTATTTTTAAAAATAAGAACAAATGAAAATAAAAAATAAAAAATAAAAAATAAAAAATATTTTATTTTTATTTTATATTAAACTAAAAAATTATTTTTATTTTTGTTTTTTTATTTTTATTACGTTAAACGTTTTTATTTATTGTTTTTAAAAAACGTAAAAAAACAAAAAAAATTAATTCCAAACACAGTAAATGTCTTTTTATATTTGTGGAATGAGTTGGTGGGAAAACTGGTGATTATAATGCTGCCAAAGATTCTCTTTTAACGCCTAATTAAAATTTGTTGGTAATTACTAATTTGATTAGAGTATTTAAGCTTTTTAATTTGAGGGCTTTTAATCGAGGTTGGTGGGTTAGTCTTTATATGTTATTGAATGTGAATATGTATAATGTCAGAGTGGAGAATCTGGACAGCGAATCGGATCTACAATTATTTCCTGCTAAAACTTCTGCAGGGTATAATTATGACTTTAATTTATGATTTTGCTAATTTTCTGCCCATGTGGGGTGTGAACTGTCACTTTTACAGTCTGAAATCTTCAAGGGATACTACAACTCCAGCTACATCAGGAGGAGGAGCTTCACAAGGTGCAGTACCCGGGTCAGATTCCGGGTTAACATATTCGGATTCGGGTTCCGGATCACAACCAGGGTTTGCGTATTCGGATTCTGGAGCGGGAGCAGGGTCGGGATTGGGATCAGGGACTGGAACCGGATCGGGAACCAGAACTGGGTCTGAAGGAACCTATTTGGCAGATGGGTCATGGTTGGCTGGTTTGGCCATGGGAGATTCAACAAAGATTGTCACTCCCTCTACATTGCATACTGCACTAATAGCCTCTTCAGCCTTTTGTACTATCTTCCTCTCTTTAAGAAAATTGTAGCCTCTCTCTTGTGTTTTGGTGTTTCTCACGTGAATTTGTATCAGGGTTTATTGCAGCCTTTAATGGGTTATTTACTTATTATTATTATTGTCGATGGAGTTTTTGCATTTTGTTAGGAAAAGCTGACAGATTCATCCAGATTGTAAACCACCCACCCACCCACTTGAAGATTCTCCCAAAATATTCCTGTAAACCTAGGCTTAAAAAAAAAAAAAAGTTTTCACCTTCCCTTTTTGTGTTGAGAACATCAAGTAGTGTAGTAAAAGTTTTCACAGGTTTTACCTTCCCAACCCTTTTTTGAGGTCCTGCAGTTCTTTGGTTAAAGCAAGCAAATCAGAGGATCCAGATCCACTTTTTTTTTCCTCTCTCCCCTTCTTAAGACTGGCGTTTTTTTGTTTGTGTTTCTGCATGTGATAATCAAGTTTACGTTGTGATTTAATAATAAGAACTTACAGGATTAATGATGATAAGTTGAAATTCAAGGCGCAAACAAATGCCTTGTTTACTTCACCGATTTGAGTTTTTAATTTTAAATTTTTATAATAAAACTTTTTTAAAAAGTGTCACATTTAAATTTTTTTGTTATAAGAAAATTTTTTAAAAAAATGTCACATTTCAACTTGAATCAAAATGTAAATGTGTATTGGATTTGGGCAAAGCAAGGAAGTCAAAAAGAAAAGAAGAATACGTACAATGAATGGTTGGCTTCTGTCTACACTGTCCGGAAGAGGGGACACTTTACGGGTTATGCGAGATTATTTGTTGTCCTTTTGTCTCCAATGGAAAAAGGAATTTCATTAAAGCTCCGTTTAGTGGGATGAGAAATGATTTTGGTACCATTGGCTGGGTTTTCATGGGAGAATAACAAGTTAATTAATAACTTAATCATCAGTTGGATTCTGGGGTCCGACGGCCTATTAGAAAACAAATTTTTGCACAATAATATAAGCAAGGAATTTGTATAAAAAGTGCATTATTTCGTTCTTTGATGCCTACGGCTGAGTCTTAACCATTGATTTGGTTATGTGGCTTGAGCTTTTTCCCCAAAATTGTTCTTAAATGTGAGGCGATTGTTGAATTTTTTTTCTAAGCCGAAAGCCAAAAGGGCCTGCTTTTGAAAACAAATATAGACATCAAACCACTTTGTTGACCGGATTGCCAAGGTTTCATGCTATATAGTTAGGTCACTTTGACGTAAGCCAAAACTATGTTCTCTTAACAATACTCGAATCTACTTAGATTTCTTTGAAAAGATTTTAGTGTTGATTTTTTTTTGAAACTTTTCTTTAATACGAATGTACGTTGGATTATATAACAATTATAAAAACAATATAATACTTAACGAAATTTGATGAAAATCTAATAGTTTTTTTGCATAAAACCCCCCCTTAAATTTTCGGTTTTGGTGGATTGAATCTTAAACTAAAAATTTTTACAATCAGCCCCGAACTTTGAAATTGTTGCATCAGTGGTCAAATAAAAAACGTCTGTTATATATATATATATTGGATGATTTTTTTGCACGTGATCTGCACGTGCCATCTATAAAGGGCACGGGTGGTCATTTTCCAAAAGGAAGTGGCAACTTCACTTTTTGGTTTTGACAAGATCTCCCTTGTTACCGTGATTTTACCAAGAAAGAAAAAAAAAATCCATTGTTTCTCTGAGATCAGTTCAATGGCTTTTAGTAGAAAATTTTTCCAAACTTCGATATATAAATTCAACTTTACTTTTCTTAAAATTTCTCTATTCGGATCATGATTTAAATAATAATTTATAATTTATTATAATATTTTTTTCATAAAAAATACAAATATAATAAAAATAATTTTAAATCTTAATTCTGAATTTATAACCAAAATCATTGATTCTGAACGAGCATAATATAACAAACCCATATCATAATTCATGACATAACAAACCCAGATCATTTTCGGAAAAAAAAAAAAGAATCCCATTTGATCTCCACTCCCACCAACCTCAATCCACAAAATAACACATGCGTAATCCTGCTTTGACATGATAATTAAAACCCCAAAAAATATCCCCAAAAGATCAAATTAGACTATATTTTTTCCTTCGAAACCCAGAAAATAAATGACTTTCAGTGGGATTACTGATTACATATCTCCTCCCCTCCTCAGACCCAACGAGTTTAATCTTCATCAGACCCGTATGCAATGTTGCTTTTGCATGATTCAAAGCACTGGTTGTGTGATTGAAAGAGATACCAACATTGAGATCCAAATTTTCAGACCCAAACCCCTATGTTTCCGATCAACCTCAACATCGTACCATAAAAAACCACTGCAGCGCCTCCGTGCCAGATCTCAGAGAGAGAGAATGAGGAAGAGAGAAAGAGATCAGCGTCTCCTGTTTGCTAGTTTTCTCGTCGTCGAGGAGAAGCGATTCAACCATCTGCCAAGAGCATTGCCGGAGAACGATGAGCGGAAAGCCTGGGTGTTTTCGGATTGGGAAGAGAGCACGATCGAGGCAAGACCGAATTCGGCATAGCTCCTCTCCGGCGATGGTAGAAGGTAGAAGGAGAAGGGGATGATGAGCGCAAAAGACCGCGTGAAGGAGATGAGGACTAGGGATTTTTTTTTCTTTTTTGGAAAAAGACTACCAATGCCCTCACTAAAAGCTCAGGTGTAAGTCACGTGTAAAAGATCGTTTAAAATTGTACGGTATTTAACAGACGTTTTTATTGGACCACTAATGCAACAATTTCAAAGTTTGGGGAGCTGATGGCAAAAATTTTTAATTTATAGACCAATCAGTCAAACACGAAAAATTTAAGGAGTCTCATACAAAAAAGTCAAATCTATAGTTGAAAACTTTGTGATAATAATAAATTAATTTTTTACCTACCATAAAATTCTTTCCTTTTCAGTCCCATAGAAGGTAGCATATAGCCTATTCAAAGGGCACTAACTCACTAATAGAATTTGAGTGTCAGTCGCATGAAATTTATAAATGAAGCTTACTTTCTATTAATTGCGGTGTTTAATATAGTGTTTTTGAGCATTTTTTATTTAAAAGAGAAGTCTTTTTAGACATTTAAAAAATATTTAAACCATCACCGGTACTAAACACTACCACATAATGAAAGATAAGTCCCACGTTATGAAATTTATTTTTTACTTTAGATAGTACTTAACACTTTTAATGTCTTATAATAATGTTCTTATTACTTGTGCAGCTGATGACATCAGCTGTATTAGGAACTCTTGCCCATTTTCTGGCAGAAAATTGTATTTTTGCTAATCGGATAATTGGCTAATTGCCCACACCTTTATGTTGTTGGCTTTTTTTTTTTTTTTTTTTGGTTCCCACCCTTTCTATCTTGCCCTCGAAAATTTCTGATATATGGGGTTTGGAAATGCGTCAATCAAGGATGACAATTGCGGGTCTATTGGCAAAGAAGTAGAAATTTTCTTCGCCGGTTCTTAAAAAAGTTAAATTTTCATGTGGGTCCTACACACCAGATCATATCCTGAATTCAATCACGTCAGACTATTCTCACATCTCACATGTTTGAGATTGAAAAGGACGTTCAATAATTCCAAAAAATGGCAGTTTGCACGATGTGATAAGATTATCAAATTGATTTTAGGTAACATTATTGCAACTGTTAAACGAGCTATATTGCAATTTGCAACAAAAGACGTCCATGGAAGAAGAAGGAAGATAGGGGCTACAATACCCTGTGGTTATAAGTAAAAATGGCAAAAAGAAAACCGCATGCGAAGAACCATGGCATCGTTAAAAAGGTATTATTAAAGCCGAATCGGCCGAAACGTGAAATGCAAGCTTCCTAGAACCGATATTCTGTTGTGCTTTTACTTTTTAGGCATAGAGGATGTTTGTTTTTTTGTATTTATTTTTTATTTTAAATCATGATTTATAGTTTTTTATAGTATTTTTTCTCATAAAAAATACACATAAAACGAGAATAATTATGAATTATAATTCTCAATCTATGAACTAAACGTCAACTAAATATAGAGTGTGATTTAACACTTAAATTGACAAAGATTTATACAAAACGATCTGAAAGATATCTAGCCCATGTGTTTTTTACTTAATTCGACAAATGATCCGTGTTCTCTTCTTCCGATCTCATTTCACTCCCTAAATTTCAAAATGTTATATTTTTCATTACTAATCTGTTACTTTGTTTCAGTTTCGATTTATCTGTGAACTAAGTGTTAAATATATGACGAAAAAAACTAACATGCTTTTGAAACATCTTGTTAGATCCGTTTATCAATCAAGCAGGAAAATAGAGCAGAGAATAAAGAGCACACGAGATTGGTATTACGATTCAGTAACTACCTACATTCACGGGGTAATGCCCAGATATTAAATCATCCACTAATTCTCAACGATTACAAACACCAATCAGATTTATACAAATAAATACTCCCTCTTGAATTTGTCGCCGCCGCCTAGAATCAACTAGATGACTTGATTCAACGAGTATCACTCATCTTCAAAACTGTATGCCGAAATCTCTTCATCAAGCAGGTTGCTCTCTCTTGAAAGCTTTAAATTTTTCTCCCGAAGAACGATAAACAGTTGAACTCCTTTCAACACTGCAAACATCTTCTCCCGAAGAATGATAATGAGAACTTTTCAAAACATAATGCGTGAAACTCAAGAAGCCCACAGAATGAATGGTCTTGAGTTCTATTTATAGAACTTATATTCCTTATCTTCATGTTGACACAATCCAAGCGAAATTTAAATTATCTTCATAATTATATCCACGCTTACTCAAAATTCAAATTGCCACACAATCTGTTCCACGAATTGTTGTAAAATTAACTGATCTTGAATTTAAAATCCGAACTCAACAATTATGCTTTGATGATCTCTGCTCTATTTTCACATATGTCTTTTGCATATTATCATTTATAAAAAACGCACAACTCAAAACTTTTAAAAAATTTTTAATCGAATTTTAATTTAATTCAATTTAAACTAGGATTATCTCGTCAAATTTTCTTTACAACTTTGACTCATTATTTTTATCTTTTTAACAACTTATTTTATCTGAAACTCATCATTTTATCTTAAAATTTAAATGGTAAATAAACTTACTCAACACGTCATCATCTTCTCAAACCTATTTTTTAAATTTTCCTAAAAAACCGCTGTAAAAAATTACCAACTAAAATCCTAACACATCTCCTTACGACGGCTCATTCCTCCACGAAAAGGAGTGAAAAAAAAAAAAGAGGAGGAAAAAACTGTACGCTAAGTGAATTGGCAACCAATCTATAAAATTTTTTCTCTTGTCAACCTTAAAAAAAGTCGTATTGGTATAGGTCACAGCTGAATGCTGAAATGTCTAGTTTCTTCACCTTGGCTGAGTGAGAATGTTGAACTTGCTGTTTTGTTTCCGTAATCGACACTAATTTTGTATTCACCTAAAAAGCCAAAGAAGCTATATGATCCATGCTCATCTGTCACACCCTCCAACTTCTCTGTTCTCCATTCTTTTAGAAGCTTGTCAACTACATCACCAGCGGGGAGGTTTTGTAAATTGTCGTCAGTGAGGCACATTTGGTAACAACCATTTGGATGTAGAGCAGTCCAAAGCATTATCCCATTAACAGATGGATGTGAAAAGCCTTCTCTTAGAACTTGTTCCAAGTAAATAGTCTGTTTTAGAAAGAAAAAAAAAAAGAACGAATTCAGTCATTCAGAGTAATATCCACTAGTACTCGAGAAGTTGAGTGACATTTATCAGGCATCATCATCACCAATGATGTATCACCGTGTGTGACAAACAATAGATCGCCATATAGAAAAATATAAGACTAATTGCAAATCACGCTCTTATATGATAATTTTATTTTATATACTGTCACATATGTGTCAAACGCATCTCCAATAGTGGTGTTACGTTTTTTTTCTTAGTGTACACATGTCAAAACATGAATGGACTAAATTCTCGGAAGCTCAAACTCACCTGTGTGGCCTTGTCAAGGGTATTGCTGATGTCCACTTCTGTAAGCCAAACAGGAAGCCCCAATGTGGCCAACTTATCCAGAATAGCTCTCATCAATGCAGGATTTGGCACTGTAAAATGCCCCTCAAGACCAATTCCGTCCATAAAGACACCACCGCTTCTGAGCTCTTTCAGCCTTGAAATATATGCATCAACAGTAGAATTCATATCATTACAAGTCTCCACGACATTAAACTCATTCATAAAGAGTGTCGCCAAAGGGTCGGATTGGTGCGCCGTTTCAAAGAAATGCAGGGTGGCATTGGGGCCTAGCTTTTGCTCATAGAAGTCAAAGTGAAGCATTTCATTGCTAACATCCCAGTGAATGAACTCATCCTTGTATTTGTTCATTAGACCTTGTATTCTTGAGTTCACAGCCGATTGTAGATCGGAACTTGTGAGATTCCTAACCCATGATGGCGTGTACTTTGGGTCTTCCCAGAATATATTATGCCCTCTGGCTATAATTTTATTCGCGCGAACAAACTCCAACATCTTGTCTGCTATTGTATAGTTAACTTTTCCTTGTTTAGGTTCTGTTGCATACCACTTGAGTTCATTTTCAAAAACCGCCGCGTTGAATCTCTCAACGAACCAATTCTGAAACATGTTTATAAGAAAAACCAAGTAATTATGCATAGATAATTGAGCTCACCGATAGGTAAAAAGTGTCAATTCTGTTGTAAATACCTGATAAGGCAAATTTCCTAGGATGGTTTTTGCTATTGCAGAGCCAAATGGGAAATCCTTTGACAATTGCTCTATGGAAACTGCAGCTCCTTGTAGCCTCTCTCCTTGTACATTTGAGACATGGACTGTCACAGCACGCTTCCTTTTCTACAAAAAATATAACATGTTGTTTCTTTGAAAATTCATGCAATTATCATAAAGTTGGAGTCCTTAATGCCTTCAAGAGAAACACTTCGGTATCATAGTCAAGTTGTGGTTTAGTTAAGAATAAAAAGCTGTTATCTACTTACAGTGTTGATTATGTATTGCTGATTCATTCTCCATTGCTGATCACTAAATGGTTGAAGTGAAGGGCTTGCAATTGCTACGTTGATTTCTCTGTCGTCCGAATTCTGTAAAGCCAAGACAGGAGTCTTTTTTTTTTTCTTTTCTTTTTTGGGAGGGAAGAATAAATACAAGAAAAGAAGTATTAAATTACCTCAAAGTATAATATTGATAAATTAGAGGGTGAATTAAGAGTAAATCCACCCTTGATGAATGACCAGCATCCAGGCCTAGCCAAAACAGTTCCTATGCAGCCATAAGTCTCATTTTCTGTCTTCAGACTTGCCCTTATGAGAGCTGGACGTGCACCTTCCATCTTCACCCAACCTGTTGATTAACCACCAAAGCAGGTTGTGGCTAGCCAAGTCATTCTGCTGTCATCTTTATGTCACAAAAATTAGTGATAAAAAAGTTGAAAGTCTAGTGGTGTGCATATGTTGATGGCATTTTGTTGTTTTGGTCATGCCAAAAACTGTTCAAATGGCTTGGATGTCCCAAGCTGTTTCTACTCTGGGCTGAGTTTTGCCGAGCCAATTGTAGAATATGGGAAATGAGCGGATAGAGTCAATTGTATAGTCTTTAAGAGGGTGTTTGCCTGTTTAGTATGAGGATTCATGTCATGGTTCGAATTATAATTCGTAACTCACTACAGTATTTTCTCTCATAGTATTTTTTTCTTATAAAAAACACATGTAAATCGAAAATGGTTCTCTAAATCCGTGAACCAAATATTCAATAAATAATATAAAGTTTAAGGAAAACGCAACAATCCGTTGTAGTCTAGTTGGTTAGGATACTCGGCTCTCACCCGAGAGACCCGGGTTCAAGTCCCGGCAACGGAATTTTTAGCTTTTTTTTTTTTTTTTTGGAGAATCTAGGAAATTTGTATTCTGACAACTAGAAGAGTTAAAATTTTTTCAGAGAGGAAATGAAGATGAAAGAGAAACCCAACTGGAGAAACAATAAACGGTGGTTTGGGAGAGATTGCGCAGTAGAAATGCAGGCGAATAAACACCACTACTAGCACCAGAGTCACCAAGACCAGTGTCGCTGCCATCAACTGACGCAGGCCTTTTCCCTTTCAGAATCCCTCCACTGTATAGTGGCCCCTCTGGCTTTGCTTTACACTGAAAAAAAAAAAAAAAAAAAAAACCCAACTTCCTAATCATAGTTCATTCTTCATTTCATTTATATGATATGAATTCACCCAATAAATATAATATATACATATATAAATATAACTTTCATGCAGTACTACCACTGTCTTAACCACTTACCTCAGTGTAAGCTGTAAAATCATATAAAGGTCCATCTGCATTATTTTTTAAAGTATCACTCAGAGGTCATATAGCTATAGAAAAAACATTTTGACTTATAAAAACCAATGAGAGAAAAGAGCATATATATATATATATCATTAGAAGAGTTAATGTAGTTACCAAATGAAGCAACAAAGAGCGGCCATGCGAGAGAGAACAGAGCCAGGAGGCTAACGACATTGATGGCACTACTATCTTCCATTCCACAAGTTTTAGATGCTTCAGAATATTGTTATTTTCAAGAGGGAAAGATTGCAGTGTTATTTGATATTTGGTTCTTCTCCAAAATAATGGAATAAAAGGTTAAGGTCATGAGAGTATCACAAGATAACAGTGGCACAGGTCTGTACAAGCCCGTGCCTAGTTCACATGCTCTAGATTTCGCATGTGACAAACTACGTTATAAATAGAGGGACATATATCGGGGTGGTAATTAAGGACTAATCAGCAATACTTTGTAAATGTCTAACCATGTTAAGCATTGATGTTAATCCAACGTATCCGCAAACCACATTATACCGATTCGTTTTGTTCCTTAATTTGGCTTTATCGACGTGCGCCTAATCTTTAGTCTCGGATGCTTTTGTTAATGAAAACTTACTGTTGGAAGAGCCTAGTAGAGCCGTGTTGGCTTTCCTTAATTTTGTATTAGAACTGGATTTACGAGTAAGAAAATGTTAGACATTTAAGCGTTTATGCTAAATTATGCAAGTGTGAAATGACCAACAAATGTGAAGGCCGTTGCAGTGTCGTTTAAGAAAAGAATGTTGAATTGGACGGCAAGTCATGAGCCTCCAGCAGCAAGCGTGTGTTACTGAAAGGATTTCATGGTTCAGAAACTTGCACGCGCGCATGGTATATACATAGGGGACCATGGAGTGGCATGCTCATTGGCATTAATGCCCCAACCAAGAAATGGTGATGACAAATTTCACAACATAACGAATTACTAATACTACCTGGTTTCGATCTTGGATATAGATACATATATCTAGAAAGACCTTTTTTCTGATCAAATTATTGATAGTTCTAAACCATAGTATATCTTTTCTAGGGGTGGCAATTTGAGTCCAAGACATGCTACTTAAGTCCGACCTATACATACTTGATTATAAGGAATAATTAGTTTGAAGTAAACCTGATTTATTAATTATCCATTTGTTTTATAGGTTCAATTACAAGTCAAGACACACTGTTTGGTCTCATAAAAAATTTAAATTTATGTATTCAAACTTTATGTTAGAACTTATGAACCAAAAGGGCCTCAAATGTTTTCAAATTATAAAATACTGTTAGAACGAATCTAACACCAAAAGCCCAGAAGATCAACAGAAAAACAGAGAAAACATAAACAAGAATACACAACACCAGAATTTATACAAGTTCGGCCAAAATGTTTGACCTACGTCCTGTTGAGCTCCTCCACAAGAGCTATTCCACTATCAAGAAGAAGAGTACAACTTAGATCTCACGATTACAAGCTTGAATAGAGAAAATCCCAAACTCCCCGAGACTACCCAAAGAAATCACATAGTATTTACAAAGGAACACCCAGAGTAAACCTCTCTTTACAGATTTCTTCTCTCTCACCGGATTTGTACAGTCTCTCTCACTCTCTGGAATTCTCTCTCTGAAATCAGGAAACAAAATGAGATCCCCAAATTTTCTGCTAACCCTAGAACAACCTGTATATTACATATATATACCCCAACAGAAAAGAAGATAACACCGACTCTGTAGCCACGTGTCGCTAAGTTGCTTGCTTCAACTCTTCATTACTAAAACGCAACGTTTTGATTCACTGCTATTCACCAGACAGAAACGACCTGCCGTTTTTGTTCTCTTCTTCTTATTGTTATACACCATTTGTTTAGTTCAGAGATTATTCCTCACAAACTCCACCTTAATCTCTAAAGTAAACTTGTAGCTTCCTTGTGGAATCATTGCTCTCCCATTCTGATCTACATTTTTCCAACGCTAAGCAACTCCATACATTTTTGGAGTTTGCTAGCTGGTATTACTTTTGTCGCCATATCAGAGGGGTTTTCTTCTGTATCCACTTTTTCCAATTCTACTATTCCTTCTTCAATTTTCTCCCGGATGAAATGGTGTCTAACATCAATATGTTTAGACTTTTCATGGTAGACTGGATTCTTACTCAAGTGAATCGCAGATTGACTATCTGAGTAGATGGTGGCATTTCCTTTCAACATCTTCAGTTCTCTTAAAAGTCCCTGCAGCCATATAGCCTCCTTAAACCCTTCAGTTACAGCCATGTACTCTGCCTCAGTGCTTGAGAGAGCAACCACTGGCTGCAACTGAGCCTTCCAATTTATGCAATTTCCTCCTAGCAACATCATGAAGGTTGAAGTAGATCTTCTTTTATCTCTGTCACCTGCGTAGTCTGAGTCAACATACCCTTTTAAGCTGAGGTGGGAAGACCTTTGCTTGTAGACCAATCCACAACTCAAAGTGTTGTTCACATATCTGAGCACCCACTTCATGGCAGTCCAATGCTCTTGACCTGGATTAGCCATATACTTACTAAGTATGCTCACGGCATAGGCAAGATCAGGCCTAGTGCAGATCATGGCATACATAAGTGAGCCTATAGCACTTGAGTACAACACTTTCTCCATTTCCAGCTTCTCTTTCTCAGTTGATGGAGACTGTTCTGCAGATAGCTTAAAGTGACCTGCCAATGGGACAGTAACCCTCTTTGATTGATCCATAGAGAATTTTCTTACAACCTTTCTCAGGTACTCTTCTTGAGACAAGTATAACATCCCCTCCTTTCTATTTCTTTTGATGTTAATACCTAGGATCTCCTTTGCCTGCCCCAGGTTTTTCATATCAAACTCTACACTTAACATCTTCTTGACTTCCTTTATGTCATTCAAGTCTTCTCCTGTAATCAGCATATCATCCACGTATAGTAGAAGAAACACTGAATTTCTGGCACCCGCATTCTTATGATATAGGCAAGAATCATAGCTGCTCCTTTCAAAATCAGCCTTTGTCACATGTCCATCAAACCTTCTATACCATTGCCTTGGGGATTGTTTCAATTCATACAAGGACTTCTTTAGGAGGCACACATTATCTTTCTTTCCATTCACCTCAAAACCAGGGGGTTGAATCATATAAATGGTCTCATTTAGGTCTTCGTGCAAAAAAACAGTTTTTACATCCATATGCTCCAATTCCCAATTTTTCTGGTCCTTATAGTTTTATACTTAACCACTGGAGAAAAAACGTCAGTATAATCAATCCCCTCAACTTGTGTGAATCCTTTGACAACCAATCTTGCCTTGAACCTCTTTGGTTCCCCCCTGCAGCTCCTTCTTTGATCTTAAAGATCCACTTACATGAGACTGGTTTATGCTTCTTTGACTTGTCAACTAGCACCCAGGTATTATTCCCCTTTAAGAATGACATTTCCTTTTTCATTGCTGCTATCCACTTATTTGCTTGTGGACAGTTTATGGCCTCTTCATAGGTTTTAGGTTCTTCTATCTCTAGATCTTCTGAAGAACTCAAAGCAAATGTTATAAGTTCACTATGGCCAAATCTTTGAGGTGGTTTCACTTGCCTTCTTTGTCTATCCTGACTAAGCACATAATCTGCTAGTCTTTCTGTTGCTGCAGGTTCTAGAACTTCTTCATCTGGGTCGGCTGTGGGATTGTCAGGATCTTCATGTATAGGTTGTTGCTGCTGTAACGTTTCTTGCCCTGTATCTTGTTGATCTGGTGGCTCTTGATGTCTCCACCTCAACTGGCAGCTCCTTTCTTGAGTTTGTACCTAGACCTGCATCATTTGAAACTACATCAATATCTTTTTCTTGGTTTAAATAAGGCATATTATATTCATTGAAAATAACATCCACACTGATTATAATTTTGTGCCTAGGACCATCTCTAATACACAGCATATACCCTTTGACACCCTCTGGATAACCTAAGAAAATGCATTTTAAAGACCTAGGGTCTAACTTGCCTTCCTTTTGGTGTGCATACACAGCACATCCCAAAACTCTTAGGCTTCCTAGGTTAGGTGGTTTTCCAGTCCAAAGCTCTTCTGGGGTTTTTAGTCCTATTGGTTTGCAGGGGCATCTGCTAATTAAATAACAGGCAGTAGTCACCGCTTCACCCCAAAAGGACTTAGTTAATCTTAAACTAAATAACATGCATTTGACCATTTCCATCAATGTACTATTCATTCTTTCAGCTACCCTATTCTATTGGGGTGTTTTCTTAACAGTTCTATGCCTTAGGATTCCTAAATCATGACAGTGTTTTGTGAACAGATCATGGTAGAATTCCATGCCATTGTCTATTCTAAGGGCCTTTAGGTTCTTACCGGTTTGGTTTTCAGCTAAGGATTTCCTTTGTTTAAATTTATTGAAACATTCTTCCTTAGTTTTTAGTAAATAAACCCAAACTTTCCTAGAAAAATCATCAACAACAGAAAGAAAGTACCTTGATCCTCCATGAGTTAGAAGTCTCTTAGGTCCCCATAGATCAACATGCACGTAATCCAGTGGCCCTTTTGCTCTGTACGTTGATGATGTGAACTTGAGCCTATGTTGTTTATGTTGGTCTCCGAATCGAATTCGGATGTGGAAGCGTGGTGCGGGGAGGCGGATTGTGTATAACAAAAATTTTCATAAAACCTTTGAGATATCTATAGATTATATTAATTTATGCACGAATAAATTAATCTCATTAATTCATTTATTAAGAACTCAATTAGGAAAAATACCTGGAGGCTGACTCGGATGATAACTTGAGTTCTTTGACCTCGAACAATCCATGCTCTAAAGCTTTGTGTTTAGAAAACCAATGCCTTTCATGTCAATTCCTAGAATCCACGAATATGTGTGTGTGGGCACACATGAGACAAAACGGGTTACAAGAAACACTCAAATTTCCACAAACACCAACGCATGCACGATGTGGAATTTATGGAGAAAAAATTTGTCCTTCCTC